GGCCATCAACAGGGCCGACTTCTTCTTCGACCACAAGGCTGTTACTGTCGAGTTGCACATACCAGCAACAATGATATCCAGACGGCCACGACGCGATGACGAACGACGTCACCAGCACCGCGCCCTTCAGCCCACATCCCCGACGGGAAAGATCACCAACGTGCAAGTTTACCTTGACCACCAACGGCTGAGCCTTCACCAGCACAAGCTGCCCTCTGGCCTGGAAGCGCTGAGCGAGCACATCGAACAAGTCATCCTGGACGCCGCTGCCGCCAGCAGTGCCCCGGGAAATTCTTCCTGGAACGGCAGAGACGGAGCGACCCCAATCAAACCGCAAGCGAAACCACAACACGACCAATGACCAGCACGAGTATACAGTCTGATCACACAGCGACAGCAGACGCCAAATGACGACCACCACGCCCGCAAGCAGCTGAGTAAACTTATACAGCAAGAGATCTGCGCACAGAAGCGGACGACACGACGGGCCCACATAGCAAACATACTTGAGCAGTTCAAAGACTTAAGAGCATCCCGCGCATCAAAACACGGAAGAAGCGTAGTCTCATTGCCCACATGACAGACAAAGAGGGCAACAAGTGCACGACGCGGCAAGAAATCGCGAACGTCTTGGCGGAGTTCCACGGTCAGTTGTGCAACTCTACAACAGGGGCGACCCAGGAAGAGCGACGAAACGACGACGCCGCCGACCCCGCCGACCACCGACCAACTGACCGCTCACCTCTTCCTTCTCCTGCTCTTTCTCCCCGTCAGACCAATCAGCAGACCGACCAGCAGACCAGCACGCAAGCAGACCGCGCGCCAGACCGACCGACCGACCAGCAGACCAGCAGACCGACCTCCGACTGCCAGCTAGCGGACCAACAGACCCACCGCCGACCAGCAACAAGCGTTCCCACCGACTACCGCAGCGACCAAACGACGACCCCGCCGACCACCGACCAGCAGACCGACCAGCAAACCAGCAAACCAGCAGACCGCACACCAGACCGACCGTCCGACCAGCAGACCAGCAGACTGACCCCCGAATGGCGGCCAGCAGACCAGAAGGCCCACCCACGACCAGTGACCAGCAAACCCACCGACTACCACAGCGACCGAACGACGATCCCAACGACCACCGACCAGCAGACCGACCAGCAGACCAGCACGCCAGCAGACCACGTGCAGACCGACCGACCGACTGGCAGAACAGCCGACCGACCTCCGACCGACGGCTAGCAGACCAGCAGACCCACCCACGACCAGCGACCAGCAGACCCACCGACTACCGCAGCGACCAAACGACGACCCCGCCGACCACCGACCAGCAGACCGACCAGCAACCGGCAAACCAGCAGACCACACACACCAGACCGACCGACCGACCAGCAGACCAGCAGACCGACCTCCGACTGCCAGCTAGCGGACCAACAGACCCACCGCCGACCAGCAACAAGCGTTCCCACCGACTACCGCAGCGACCAAACGACGACCCCGCCGACCACCGACCAGCAGACCGACCAGCAAACCAGCAAACCAGCAGACCGCACACCAGACCGACCGTCCGACCAGCAGACCAGCAGACTGACCCCCGAATGGCGGCCAGCAGACCAGAAGGCCCACCCACGACCAGTGACCAGCAAACCCACCGACTACCACAGCGACCGAACGACGACCCCAACGACCACCGACCAGCAGACCGACCAGCAGACCAGCACGCCAGCAGACCACGTGCAGACCGACCGACCGACCGGCAGAACAGCCGACCGACCTCCGACCGACGGCTAGCAGACCAGCAGACCCACCCACGACCAGCGACCAGCAGACCCACCGACTACCGCAGCGACCAAACGACGACCCCGCCGACCACCGACCAGCAGACCGACCAGCAACCGGCAAACCAGCAGACCACACACACCAGACCGACCGACCGACTAGCAGGCCAGCAGACCAACCCCCGACCGCCGACCAGCAGACCAGCAGACTCACCACCGACCAGCTACCAGCAGACCCGCCGACTCCCACCCTTCACGCCGACAGAGCTTCACGAGGCAATCAAAGGTCTCCGCCTTGATAAAGCCCCAGACACGAAAGGCATCCGTGCAGAAATGCTTGAAGAAGTCGCGGGGGAACTCAGACGTGCATTTCTCCACCTTTACAACAACACCATCTTTCAGCGCGAAGCCCCGCCGCCAGCAAGCTGGAAGAGTACAGCCATCACAGTCATACCCAAAGGTGGAGATTTCGCGCTTCCACAAAATTGCCGTCCGATTTGCACGATACCGCTGTTGTACAAGTTGCTCAGCCGAATCGTCTGTTCAGTGCACTTCGTCAGCCAGGCCTTTGGACTAGTGTAAGGTATATTGCAACTGTTTCGTGAGAATGGTTTGGGCTTGCACGTCTCCCAACGGAGACCTCACGGATTCGCTTTGGCAAGCGTGCTCGTGCGAATGTTTCTTTCAGGTTAAAGCGTGGCAGGTTGCGCGCGGTCCCTGCAAAGCGATTGGGGCCCCCTTAAGATCTGGCGGGTCTCAGACGGCGGGTCAGGTCGTAGCTTCCTTGGCCACGAAGGTAAGGAATGTATAGATTGCAGCAATCACTGATGTCTCTTTGCAGCGTGGGTCGTGGCCTGGTCGCTTTGCGATCCATCGCTCATTTGTGCTCGAGGGTTTTTCTGCTCCTCCTGCGCCCCCCCTCCTCCCACTTTCAAGTGTCCTGCTGTCGCAGGCCACCTTCTCAACACTTTCAGTGGCGACTGTTTCGTGAGAGTGGTTTGGGTTTGCGCGTCTCCCAACGGGGACCTCGCGGATTCGCTTTGGCAAACGTGCTCGTGCGAATGTTTCTTTCAGATCAAAGCGCGGCAGGTTGCGCGCGGTCCCTGTGTGGGGGGGGCGATGGGGGCCCTCTTGAGCGCTGGGGGGTCTCAGACTTTGGGTCAGGTTGTGACTTGCTTGGCCACGAAGGTGAGGAGTGTGTGTGTGTGTGTATATATATATATATTTATTTATAAAACATACATATTGCACAACATAGGTGGCATCACATCGGTTGCGCAAGATATTGCACCGCGTGCATTGCACCGCATGTATTCTCCTTTCTAAAAAGGGAATCGACTCTACCCCCCCGGCGTTATCGGTCCCCCTTTCGGGTATGTAAAGCACATATGACTCTGACCACATGTCCATTTTAAATATGAAATCACAATGTCCCAGACCAACCGTGTTCCCTCGCCCGGAGTTTTTTTTTTTTTTTTTTTTTTTTTTGTTTTTTTTTTTTTTTTCTTTCTTCTCTCCGTTTTCTGTTCAACAATAAAATTGTATTTGTTTTGAGAAAAAATATAAATGAAAACACATTATGCGGTGACATTTGTTGTTCTAGCATCGCACTTTTTCACGAATCCCTTGCAACAGATGAGACGAAGAGCACACGCGCGCGTCGTCGCGCGCGCATGCCGAAATCCTCCAAAAACCTTCGGTGCCGAAAGGATTTCGCAATCGAGTTTCCAAAACACATACAAAAACACATGGTTTCGCAACACTGATTTGCTAAAACAGCTTCCGCGCGAACTCTTGCGTAATCTTCAGAAAACCATAGGTT